AAGCCATACCAAATTACTATTAGAGCTGGCCTACTGGTATTATACAGCTAATATATATATTGTTTAGTATTAAGCTTTGCTTGTTCCATATTCAGTTTTTCATCAAAACGTGTTTGAGTCCATAAGAAAAGATTCATTCTTATATCTAGAGGAAGATTTTTTTTCAATAAATATTAATGTTAACCCGCGACTTTGTTCCAGTTTTGAATTTTGGCCCACTGTGTATTTGAGTTTGACACCCCTGCTGTAGAGGTTCACTTTCAATTTTCATTCCCCTTTTTATTTTATTATGTTTTTAAAAGCAGATCTCTTAGTAAAATAGCAGTATATATAAAAAAAAAATTCATTCACAAAGTTTATGGATAAAATTTCAAGTTTAAAATGAACTAATATTAGAACCAGAACCAGAATGATCTGAATAATCATGAACATGTATGTTGAGAGACAGTGTATATAAATACTGTTTAATGAGTGTCTATAAATATTGCAGAAATATAATTACCCTGCTTTTTGGAGGCTCACTTTGCTAAATGCTTCCATTTCACCCAAACTATTTAAAAACATAAACAGATTAATCTGTTAAAACACAAGAGATCACAAATTCATTATTAAACACAAATTTCATGTACAATATCAGATAAATAATTTTTAAAAATTATATTAAACATATAGAAACCAAATCTAACTGTTTAAATGCTACATTTGTCTTTCTTTATAAAGTAAATCTGTTTTGTTTGTTTTCGTAAGCCACTGTTACTAAGCTACATTGCAAAGTTGGTGATCAATCATACCCCTCTGCAATAGAATGCAAAAGTTTTATTTAATTAAAAAAAAAATAATAATACTTTAACAATTTAAGTGTAATTATCTAAGTTTAGACAACAGACTTTGGTGTTTCGCCAGATTATGCCAACAGTACCTCTCTTTGACTGGATGCAGTTCCCACTCTTGACGTTTCACCATAGACCTGTGAGAGAAATACAGTACACAGCATGTAAAACAAAGGTCTTGGTGAACAGATTAAAAAAAAATGAAATAAAAGGAAGAAATGAGAAACTTGAGGCAGTTATGAAAGATGAGAAAAAAAATGTTTACTTTGCATCTTGAAGTTTTTTTTCCATGTCAGCCAAACTGTTTAAAAACATCATAGAGAGATTATTCACAATACACAATATATTCAGTCAGCTCCATGATTAGAAATAAATCTGTATCTACAGTTATGTATACAAGTCCACCATCTGATTCAGCGTGTAGAACATCCTTTGGCAGCAGTAACCTGCAGAGGTGGTTTCCTGTGTGACTTTATCAGCCAGAAGTCTTGTGCTTTGTTCACCTGCAGCTTTGCAAACCTACACTCTAAAAACTAAAACTGGCATTTACTTAAAATTTTTGAGGCAACACTTAAAAATATTGAGTAGATTGGAAACCAGTCAAATCTGTTCAATATACTTGATCAATTAAATAACTAAAGCTTAAACATATTAAGTTGAAATGAATAATTGTAGTTGTTAAACACAAAAAAAGAGTAAATAACACTGACATGCTTGGTCAATGTAACTGAAATATAGATGGTCAGTTAATCCAAAATTTTGTTCCATTCACTTAATATTGTAAACTGAACATAATCAAAATTGTACTTTATATTAAATATGGTAAATGGCTTGTATTTGTATAGCACTGTACTTAGTTCCTGAGGACCCCAAAGCGCTTTACACATTCAGTCATTCACCCATTATTTTATTTCACTGGTAGTCTAAATCGAAAAAAACAAACATACTAATATGTAGTTGGGTGTTTCATAAAACATGTATGAAAAATGACCACATGTTAACATTTTTCCAAATGAAAATTAAATTTTCATAAACATGGAAATAACTCGAAATAAACAAGCACTAAAAAGACAAGAGCCTTTTCCCTTTTAGCTCAAAGCCTTACATACTTGAAGGATAAATGGCAAACCAGGAGAGCAAACACTAAAGCTCAGAGTATTTAAAAAACAAAATGAACGTGGTACTCAGTTACTCTACATTATTGTGTTTTACGTACACTTTTCAGTTGTAGTTGCTGACAATAAATAATATTGATTTGAATAATTAATGATTTTAGTACAAGATACTGATGAGTATACCTATTTGTCAAATATTTAGCTTCAATTTTAAACAAAAATATTAAGTACATGCAAATAAGGTATTCTGTGGACCACATACTGAATTTTTTGTCTGAGATAAATGTAAATAAATACCTTAATTTAACACAAACACAAATGTTAACATTTTAGACATTTATTTCAACTTATCAAACTCAAATAATTATTAAAAGGATATTCAGAGATTTTATCAGGATCATCTAACTTATATTTATAGTGATATTTACTAAGCCTCTGAATTACTTTTTAGAGTGTAAGCCATTTTGCTATATTCTTTTAGATAGATTTCTCTTGCGACCCTTTCAAACAGCCATGCTTGTTCAGTCGTTTTCTAATTGTAATGTCATAAATGTTTAACATTTAAGTTCCAGAGTGGGTTCCCAGAGTTCCTGGGTTTGTTGCACAGCATTATAGGTTCTATAGGAAGATTGTCGTGTGGGTTACAGAAACCAAAATTTCAAGACCAACAAACTGCTAAAACCTCCCTCATTGAGGTTAGAGAATTTTGTGTATTTTGTGAATGCTCACACTTGCTGATGATCGATAATACAGGTCTGCAACCAAAAAACTGCATAGAAATTTTTTGACCATTTCTTACAGATATTTACTCACTGCAACCGGGAAAATAATTTTTAAAATTTCATCTCATCAGGTTTTCTTGCAAAACTCATGTGTTTTAGTTTAATTAAGCATAAAATCAAGCATACCACTCTGCAAAAGACTGAAAATTTTCACAGTTTAAAATAATACTTTAACAATATAAGTGTTTAGACAGCAGACTTTGATGTTTCACCGTTTTATGCCAACAGTACCTCTCTTTGACTGAATTCAGTTCCTCCTCTTGACGTTTCACCACAGACCTGTGAGGGAAATATACAGCATGTAAAACAAAAGTCTCATTGAACAGATTAAACAGGGATGACATAAAAAGAAGGAATGAGAAACTTGAGGCATTTATGAAAGATGAGAAAAAAATGTTTACTTTGTGTCTTGAAGTTTTTTTCCCATCTCTGCCAAACTGTTTAAAAACATCATAGAGAGATTATTCACAATACACACACACAAAAATAGAAGTATTAATTTCAGAGTAATGTTTATTAAACTTTTTTAAAATGTAAAATCTTATGATGAGATGATCATAGCAACATAGATTATAATTCATGCAGTCTATCCTGTGTTCAGCTGTGGAAACCAGGTAAATGAAGCAATTTCAAAAATTTCTGATCAGAAACATTAAATGATATTAAAAAGACTGAATCCTTACCCCTGTGGAGCTGCTGCTCGAAAACAATTTCTATTTTGAAGGTAAAGATTAAACAGTGATATCACAGATATTTAGGCAAATGATAAATGTCCAGAGAGGAAAAATACTAAACCTAAGCTGTGCACTTCATACTTCAAACTACAGCAGCTGATGAACAAAACTTTAAATTACATTCAGTCATTTTCATGTTTAAATACTTTTAACTTGTATAAACATTTAAATTTGCCAGTTTATGCAGTGATACAGGTTTATATAATGTATTTACCTGCGGATCTTTTGAGTACTCATCGTGGTGTCTCCTGTCGTGTTTATTGAAAGTCTTTTTCCAGTCTGACACAAGTACGACTGTTACACTGAACTCAACAGACCAGGGGGTGGAGTTCAGTGAGGTCCGCCCCCTGGTCTGTTCATAAATACTATGTAGCTCCTGCTCTTCAGCACTGTTTCCACAATGGCTAACTCATACATCATAGCGATAGACTTTGGCACTGCGTACAGTGGATATGCTTTCAGTCTGACAAAAAGAGAAGCAGAAACAGAACCTCGTTTAAAATACTGGGGTCGACAGGTTGCACTGAAGACCCCAAAGACTCCGACCTGCATCCTTTTTGATGAACATGAAAACTTTCTCAGCTTTGGTTATGAAGCCCAGTCAGCTTATTTTAAAACACGCAGTGATGAATCTAGAAAGAAATTCTTCTTTGAATGCTTCAAGATGTCCCTCTATGGCAAAGTAAGTGTAAAAATCTGAAGATATCATTATTCTCATATTATGGTTTAACTGCTTTATGTTGAATGTTTTAAAGGTGCTAATAAATAAATAAATATAGCATTGGCATTTTACTGATCTACCTTACCAATTGTAATATAACTTTAGATGATAGCCACAAGAACATAAGCATACGTACATTAATGTTAAACATAAGTATTATCTTTTGGAAAGATCAGTTTTGAAAAAGACTTTTAACAGTATAAATAATGGATGTATAGATAGAGAGTAATAGGTTGGTAACTTCCTACATGAGCATATAT